TGAAATCCAAGCTTTCCAATCCTAAAATATTCATAAGACAATGTACAATACTATCCAAATCATTAATCTCCGACTCTGATACAACTACTATTCAATAAATAACTAACACAATCTTATTAACAAAGGGGAAAGAAGTGAAATAGTGAAGGGTGAATTGAAAGAAAGAAATTAGTGTCTAGTTTGGGTGATCCATATATTAAAAATATATGAAGAAATACTCTTGGTGGGGACGAGTATGAGATGAGAAGGCTAAAATCAAACTCATCCCAACCCCATTATACTTTTTGCCGTTTTTACTAGGGCTGGCTATTTGGACGGGACCGGATGAAAAACCGGAAACCGGACCGTATAACCCGGACCGAGACCGGACCGGGACCGGATAGTAAACAATCCAATCCAATCTTTGGGCTTAGATTTGAGGTAAAAAACCAGATAAAGACCGGATAAGAGAGCTCAACACCCAAAACTTAAGGGTAATTTGCATAAACGGTCACAAACCTTTACACTTAGTACAAAACTTAACCAACTCCTCACCCTTTTAGGCCTTAGGCCACTCAAATTCCCACAATCTCAGTATAAAATCAAGACCTAATTGGGACCGGACCGGGTCAAGATCGGACCGGATCAAGACCGGACTGTATCCAATCCAATCTTCGGTCATTATATTCTCAAAAAACCCGGACTGGACCGGATCAATTTGGGCCAATTTAACCGAACCGGACCGTATAGCCACCCCTAGTTTTTACTCATACTTGTCTCATACCCATTCAGTATGAGGATTCCCATGTTCACTGAATTGGAGGCGGTCAATTACCTATGGTTGCAGCCTTGCGGGTTTGATTGTTACCTCTATTTCTTATAGAGCAACAAGGATTTTATATATTAATATATTAATTTGGGTTCAATTGTGATGATGCTCAACAAAAAGGAAAACGAGAAAGAAAAAAACACTAAAAACAAAGAGGATGAAACTCGGTCCCGATACAAAACTCGTTGTAACTCACAACCTAGGCTTTTATATATTAATTTATGTTTGGGTTCAATTGTGATGATGCTCAACAAAAAGGAAAGGAGAAAGAAAAAAAAATTACTAAAGAGATTGAAACTCGGTCCCGATACAAAACTCGCGGTAGCGGCCTTGGGTTCAAGTTAGGATACTCTTGTACTTGGGTTCAATAGATGTAAACCTAGCGAACAATAGCTAAACACAAAGGTTGTAGAATGAGGAGTGAGGTAAAAGAAGCAATTTGAAACTTCCTAACTTGCACTTGGAGGAATGTGAGAACCGCTAATAAATAGTAACTCACAACCTAGGCTTTTATATATTAATTTCTTATAAAAAATGGAGCTATATCTTTTGAGCTTCAAAGTATTCATAAGGAGAATATTAATGTGCCATAAAACAAAATCTATTGAGAATAACCTTTCATTTCAGGCATATCAAACTAAGAAGATAACATTTTTCTTCTCATCATCAAAAAGATTATTCATCAAGATCAGAATAACCCAAAAAGCTGCAGAGAATAATAACCTTTTCCCATCAACAAAAGCCACCATCTTTGCATCTTTATGTTCCTCCATATCTACCCCCAATCGATGCCCTCAACTGATCTCCAAAATCACAAACAAACCATCAAGCAAACCCAAACTCCCCTCCCCCAAAGAAGGAAGAAATGAGCCATTTCAAAATGACCCGTTCATCATCCCAGCTAAACACTCCTCCTAAACCCAAACCCACCCCAACAAAGCAAGAGACAGTCCTAAAGATCCCGGGATGCACGGCCTACCTCGTGGACGAAGGGGAAGCCCTGGAGCTCGCCTCGGGCGACTTCACCATCGCCCGAGTCGTGACCCCCGACAACAAGGGCGGCTTCCCCCTCGCCACGGTGGTCAAGGTAGGGGGCCACCTCCAATGGCCCCTGACGAGAGACGAGCCTGTGGTAAAGCTCGACTCTCGTCATTACCTGTTTTCTCTCCCCATGAGGGGCGGCGCACGCCCGCTGAGCTACGGCCTGACCTTTCCTCGCCACGTCAGCAGCAAGATCGCGGCCGTGCTGGACTCCTTCCTCGCCGAGAACTCCTGCTTCTCTGGCTCTGCTGGCAGCCATGTTCTTTCTTCACCATCAGGTGGTAGCTTGGAGTGGAAGCAACTCGCTCCTAGGGTTGAGGATTACAACAACGTTCTTGCTAGAGGGATTGCCGAGGGGACAGGGCAGATTGTGAGGGGAATCTTCATGTGCAGCAACGTTTACAGCAACTTGGTTAAGTGGCTCACTTAATTTATATGTAGTTTGCTTGCTTTGGATGTACTGAAATGACAATAATTGAAAGAGTAGGTAGTTAGATGAAATTTAGGTGTTTTTGTTGTGTTGATTTGTAATTTGTTTATGGATGGATCAGGTCCATAACTGCGCTGAAATGATTCTGAATGGTGGTGGGAAAGGAGATCAAGTCAGCTATGGAGGGGCGCCGCCGGCTGGTGGAATGAACAGCTCCAAGAAGTCTAACGGTGGAGCGAAGAGCGGCGGTGGACCTAATCAAAACAGCTTGAAACGGTAATTATGTACTGTTACGTTTATCTCTTAATATTCTAGCACACGGTTAGTTTTATAAAACAACTGGTTTCAATGATTCGAGTTGTTGGATGGAGAGATCTACGTATAGATAAAGGTGGCTAATTGATTGGATTTATGAATTAGATATACTGGATTGTTGAAATCGTGGATCTGGATCAAATGGATAGGCGCGGGTTGGATTCATGAATCCAAACGACATTGAAATATTGAACAAATATGTAAATTTCAAAATGTTTAGGCCTGACATGCCATTATTCGCTTTAGACATGCCATTTGCTTTAAAAAAACAACTGCTAATATCGGAGTTCGTGAAAACTTGAACATGCGCAACGCTACGAGTCACGATTGAACCAGTTCTGATTATCATGTCGAAACTAACTGATGATTCCAATAACTTGAGTTGTTAATAGAAGTACATGTATGAATGGTGTTATTGTGTACTTGTGTCGGTCAGTGTTGATTATATACTGATGTCTATGTTAAACTCTTTTATTCAATCCTAATAACTTTTGTATCGTATGTAAACAAATCTACAAAAGCACGATCGAAAAGAGGATGTAATCTTTTGGATAGGTTACCGCGATCATTTTTTTTTTTTTTCTTTTGTCTAATCTTTGTCAAATCTCTAGTGTGAGGGATTTATCGAAGATGACAGAAGAGGTAAGCAAGGCCATGCTAGATGGAGCAAATGTAGCTTCAAGCTCAGTGATGGCGCCGCTGCTCAACTCCCAAGCAGGGAAGCTACTCCTGGCTAGCCTTCCAGGAGAAGTCATCTTCGCTTCACTCGATGCCATAAGTAAACCCTACATTACACTATAGTCCAAATGCAGTATTATTAATCATACGTAATTATGAAGAAGAAGGAAAAAAAAAACGAATTAAATTGGTTTTGTGACGACTACTGCAGATAAAATCCTAGACGCAGCAGAGGCGGCTGAGAAGCAGGCACTGGCGGCCACCACGGCGACGACGACACGGGTCGTGAGTCAAAGGTACGGGGAAGGTGCGGCCGAGACGACCGGAGATGTGCTGGCGACGGCCGGTCATGCCACGAACACGGCGTGGAACGTTGTCAAGTTCCGAAGGGCTGTCAATCCGGCCAAGTCTGGTGCTTCCACGGCGGTCCTTAGGAACAGTAGCAGCTGGAAGTAATCTTCTTGATTAATGGAAGGCTGCAAAAAAAAAAAAAAAAAAAGTTGTATCATGTATTATGGACATGATTAACCTAGCTAGCTAGGGTTTGGTTTGCTAATGTAATGTTGAAAAGTTTTATGTGTCACAACTCACACACCATGGGGGAAAAGGCACTAAATGATGTTTCATTTCACCAATTACAAAGGAGGAGCGATAGGTGACGACGAATTACGTGAAAATTTATCGATTGATGAGAATGTGTAAACGCAAAAAATAATTTGTATATGTGAACTTGCAAACATGGTTTATGACAAAATTGTGTGAAAAATCAACCATCTATGAAATTATCATGTGTTTTTTTGTCATTAATGTGTATGTGGGATTGAAAGAATGCAATATGCATTTGTATAGATAACAACTTTAACCTTTGTAGCAAATGATATTTAAAAAAGGGTTATAAGTATAATATGCCCCTCTAATATGACGCTTTATCAAACATGCCCCTCTACTATTTTTTACAACAAACATGCCCTTGTACTTTGAAAAAATTATCAAACAGGCCCTTCTGTTAAAATTTCCATTGAAAAAATCGTCAATCATGGATGAACCAAGATTTAGACAACCCGACATTGGCAAATGGGAGCGAAAATGTAAGTTTTGTCTCCCGTTTTATTTCTCTGGGTCTCTTAAAAGTGAAATTATTTAGCTATACAAAAGAACCAAAAAAATCTAAAGTGAAATTATTAGGGATATTTTAGACATTTGTGCCGCACAAACCAAAGTTCGACCTTGGTTAATGATTTTTGGATGAAAATTTAAACAAAAGGGCATGTTTGATCGTTTTTACAAAGTACAGGGGCATGTTTGATGTAAAAAATAGTAGAAGGGCATGTTTGATAAAACGTCATAATTGAAGGGCAGATTATACCTATAAACCTTTAAAAAATGATAAATATAGTCATTTCGTCAATCAACTGCATCAAATATAACATTTTTTTTATTAGATTTAACAATTTTATTATTTTTAATTGACACGCCAACTTCTTAACGATTAAAAGTAATCGTTTAAGTGTCACATATGATGAAGTTACAAAAATAAATGATCGATAACTAACAATAAATCGAGATTTAAAGTGGATGGGTAACAACAAAAAAAAAATTATCTGTCCATGACAAAATTGAAAAGTACTAAACTTCGTGACTAATTTAGCAAAACAGTCACTCTGTTACAAATTCCGTTAAAGCCGAGGTAGAGAGATATCTTTCTCTCTTGGTTAAGTGATACTTTCACTTGAAACAACCACCACCACCAAACCTCTCTTCTCTTACCTCACTCACTCAGAACCGCCGCCTGCAACAGTAAGATCCTTTACCCTAACAGGCAAAAGAAAAAAAAATACCAACATCAGAAAGAAAGCATTCCTGCAGAAGAACCGCTAACCAAAAAAAAGAAGCCATGGACACGGACGGCAGGGCTTTGAGCATATACAGAGCCGCCAGAACCATCAAGCGGAAAGACAACTCCCTCTACAACGCCCTCCGTTCAATCTACGAGGACTCCATCTTCGTCGGCGAGATCTCCCAGCTATGGCCGGAGCTCCCTCTCCTCGCCAATCTCCGCTGCGGCCTCTGGTACTCCCGCGGCTTCGCCGCCACGTGTTACTTCAAATCCACCGACGGCCACACCAACAATTGCTCCTTCTCCACCGCTCGCCTCAACCTCCACGTCGCCGCCCTCGCTGGTACCGCTTCCTTTATAATTCGTCTCTGTTTGTGTTCCCCTGTTTTTGTTTTGCCCCACGGTTTCCAGGGTTCCAATCTGTTTTTGTTGGTATGGAATTTTTGAACGTCGATGCCCTGAATTTTTTTAGATCTTGCTCTGTTTGGTTTCTGGGGAAATGGATGAAAGTTGGTGTTTTTTTCCCCCCGTGTAATTGATGTTGGGAAGCTGGAATTTGATTGTTTGGTGTCTGCTTTGTTTGGATGGAAAAGTTTGTGACTTTCCCTTTGTGGGATTTCGTTTCCCTGAATTCGATTGGATTTGCTCTGTTTTGTGAAGCTCTGGTTTCCAATCTGTTTTTGTTCATGATTTTATGGGTATGGAATTTCTTGAACCTGGATGCCCTGTAATTTTTAGATCTTGCTCTGTTTGGTTTCTAGGAAATTGGATGAAAGTCGGGGTTTTTTCGTGTAATTGATGTTGGGAAGCTGAAATATGCTTGTTTGGTGAGAGGTTTTGATGTTCTGTTTTGTTTGGATGGAAAAGTTTGTGCCTTTCCCTTTGTGGGATTTTTGTTCCCCTGAATTCGATTGGATTTGCTCTGTTTCTGAAGCTTGAGGGTGTTGAGTGTTTTCCCGCGTAGACTGAGATTGGCTTGCTTTGGTTTGGTTCTTCTTTGATGGGTAGGGCAGAAAGGAGGTTGTATGATTGTTGATTCAACCAGGAAAGGGAAGAGATTTCCCGATAGCATGTCGAAGACCATCCCAATCTGGACTTGCGTCTTGAATCGAGCTATTCGCAATTACGTCTGCAGAGTGCAGAGAGAGGCAGAGGAGGTTAGCATCATTGAGTTCAGTTTTAAAATCAGTGATGCTAATTGGGGAGATTATGGCTACCGTTTATTGTGATTAACATATGGGTTTCTCTGTTTTTTGGGTGGTGTGGCGTGCTCTGGTTAGAAGGGTGAAACTGCTGATGTGGAATGTACAGCTTCGCTTGATTGGGATTGTTCTTTGCACCTCCCACTTTGGGTTCCCGGAACAGAAAAAGCCGCCATTGAGGAGCGAATAGACGAATGGGTTGAACAATTGGAAGCCAGTGGTGCTGACATAGCTTCTCTTGCTTCCTGCCTGAAAAAGCCCTTAAGGCCGCTTTGGGTATCTCAAAAAACCGTCATATGGCTCAACGAAGTACCTGATCACGATTCGTGGGACTTCACGGCTGTCATGCTTGTTTCAGCGTCAGCCCAAAATGGTGTTTTCCAGCAACACCGGACTACCTCGGAGTTCAGCTGGAACTATATACCGGGAGCTGGAGACGATGAGGAGAGTTGGGCTAGGGGTCTCTCCCCGGGTCTCTTCTGGAACCACGCTTATGATATCATAGGTTCCGGTCCTGAAATGTGCAACCAAAAGGTTGCTGAGATAGTTGAGAAGGACAGAGTTTATAGAGCACAAAGAGGACAGGACGCTCCCCAAATCTGTCTCAAGAATCCAAAGGCATCGGGTGACACAGATCGGTGTAGTTCTTGTACTTCTATTGATTCGCCGGGAGGGGATTCTATGGCAGTGTTTCGGATTGGTTTCACAAATGTTGCAGTCGGAAGTATTCAGCATGGTATGATAAACTAGCATATTAGTTCAATGTCTCATATTATCTTCAATGTTATCGGTTTAAGTATCGTGTCCTCTTCTTGTAACATATTGTCATAGCCACAACTTTCCTTGCGTTAATGACTCGTTCGACTAATGATCAATCTTAACAATCCCTTGCTTCATTCCTCTTTATGTTGTGGTGCAGCCGCAAGTGTCCCGGATGTTGATTGCATATTGAATTGTGATGAAGCACATGTACATGGCCGTGTTGCGAATACCGAAGATTATTTGCATCTTCCTATGGTGGTAAGTTACAAAATAGTTTCCGAATCAAAGAATGAGGGCTGCTCCTTCGTGTGGCTGCTTTGCAATTTGCATAGTTGGTTGATGAATGCCATTGTCTGCTTGGCCAGAGCTCGAAATGGGACCGCTTTTCCTTGTCAAGCAATCTGCCTGCGGCTGTGAACTTTGCGAAGGCACATCTTAACAAAGGGCGCAGTCTGTTAGTCTGCTGCCAGAATGGTACAGGATTTCTGCTATTGCAATTCACATACGCACTTTACCATTTCGCGGCGTTGATCATTTGCATTGCTTGATTTTTGGTATTCGATTTCTTGTCACAGGGGAAGACATAAGCGTCTGTGTTTGTCTAGCGATTGTGACATCACTATTCGACGAAGAAGGTAAACTCATGGATAGATGTTGCACATGTGGTCGAAACACTTGCTTCCTGTCATGCATTATGATTCTTGCTTCTCAAGAAAACTCTGCAACCATTTTTCGAAACAGGGTACTTCGACGATGGGAGGTTGTTCGCCCAGAAGGGCATCACCAAATGGGAAATGCGGCGGAGGCTGGTGTTCCTCTGCAAATTCGCGGTCACTGCGCGACCATCCAGAGGGAATTTGAAGCAGGTGTATGGTTTTCTTTCACAAGGGAGAGCTGCTTCTTCAGATTTTGATTGAAACGATTGCTTGATCAAATAGAATAGAGGGGTACTTGTGGATGGATTCCCAGTGCCCATTGCTGATTTTCTAGTCCCTTAATTGCCTGCGTCAATACTAGTTTTGTTACCCTTCTTTTTCATTTTGCAGATATTTTTCATTTTGCAGATTTATTATTCTTATTTGCAGCCAACTCCAGTGGTTTTCCCCCTCTTGACTAGGGCTGCAAATGAGGCTCGCTTGGCCTTGTTAATAGATGAGTCAAGCTTGTTTATTAACGAGTTGAGTTTGAAAATGACCTTTTTTACTAAAAATTTGGCTCGTGTTCGATACATTCATTTTCTAGGTCGTGTACGGATGATACATGTGATTGATGTTGATGGTCAAACATGAGTTATAAACCCAGTGGCGTGGAGCCACTTGTTGAGGAGAGGGGTCCTAGGACCCCAGTTGGAAAAAAATGGGGCAACCAAATCCTTTGGATACTTGTTGAGGAGAGGGGTCCTAGGACCCCAGTTGGAAAAAAATGGGTCAACCAAATCCAAAAGGTTTTGTATAATCTTTCAAATATAGGATCTCATACTCTCGTTGATGTTAGCTCATCTAAGGACACCAATCGACTCAAAGTTCATAACATACTCAGACTTTAGTTCTTTGAAAATTTTAAGGACCCCAGCCAACTCAAAGTCTGGATACGCCACTGATAAACCCATTCGTGATAAGGGAAGATTAGCTACAATTAATCTTAATCCTTAGTTAGTTAACATGCTTAAGTACGTCTCGCTTTGATTAATCACACCTTACATCAATTAATCGTGCCTAGTTTTGCATAATAGTCACGTAGGCGTTATGAGTGCCTAATTGTCTGTCTAGAGTCTAAGCGAGATATTTTGTCAATATCTAGTGCTTAGATGCGCCTAGACGTACATAGAGTTACCCCATCTTGAACCTTGGTATTATTATAGAATCATCTCCCTTGTTCAACACACTGCACACCCTTGAACAGATACTTGCTATAGGAGACAAGAAAACATTATTCATGTGAATCAAAACACATAACTCACAATATAGATAGACGTTACAACGACATAAAGTGTCAATCCACTACAGAAGTGGGCTAATCGTAAGTGATCCATATTAGGAGTCCAAAGATATCTTGTATGTGATATGGATCTAAATGAGTGGAAACTCAATACTTAGATCTATGGTTTTATGAGAGCCCATAGTGGTGAGTATATAAGGAACCTTGAGGTTGTGGTCCCCAATACACCAAGACCAAACACTCTTCTTCTCCCCATCAGGAAGATGAGAGAATCCCGTAATGCAATTGAGGAGGCTTGGTTGAGAAAGGTCATAGAACCTCCTGGATCGTGCTCTATGAGTATGTCCAATTCCAGATCGTCTTCCAGATTCTGCATCGAGCTTTTGGCGATCAACCATAGGCGGAGGCAGGGGTATTTGCCCCTGTCCCAGGACAGGGGCAACTTTTGGGAAGGGAAAAAAATAACCCCACATATATTTGTACAGATCGAATTAATCACTTACAAGTAACATAAGGATATTTTAACATTACAACATAACTCATTCATTAATTCACAAAAAATAATTAAATTACATGACACTATCATTTTACAACAACTCGTTAGGTATTATCACGATATTATGGTGTAAACAATTAATGTATTTTACAATTCATTCATAATTATATGAAAACTCGTCCTGGTTATTTATGAAACAATAATTGTATTAGTCAGTTTTTTGTTTTTCTGTGAATGAATTATTAAGATATATTAATTTTAATTATATTTATAAAATATTATATATATTCTGAATAAAGGACAGGGGTAGTTTGAAATCCTGGCTCCGCCACTGCGATCAACAACATGATTCCAGTTCCAGGTATTTCTACAAAACTTTTGATATTCTAACAAGATGAATTTTTAGAGAAAAATTATATATGTTAAAAGTAATTCCAACCGTTGAAAGGTCTTAGAAATAGGAATGGCAATGGGGCAGGTCCGGGGCGGGTTTCTTGGTACCCAGACCCGCCTCGTGGCAGGTCGGGTCCAGGTCGGGTAATTTATCACGGGTCGGGGCAGGTTGACCCAATGGGTAAGCAGTTAATATGAAAAATATAAGAAATGTTCGTCATTTTTATTATAAGACCATGGAAATAAACAACATTATGATACATATAGTTAAATTATTGGAGAAATTGAGGTTTTCACTAATTTACAACTTTATTATAGCTAAAATTTGATTTAGTAAAAGGAAAATCCCAAGTAATTTGACTAAAATTACGTGTAATTTAGGCAAGAACGGGTCGAGAATGGGGCGGGTCAGGGCAGGTCGGGTCTATGAGAGTACCCATGCCCGCCCCGCCCCGTAGGACCCGCCCCAAAACAGGTCAAACAGGTCGGGTAAAACGGGTCAGGTCGAAATTGCCATCCCTACTTAAAAATTAAACTTAGCTCAGGTCTAGAATTCTTCTAAAACGTTTTTGTATTCATTATAAGGAGATATCCATCATCACAAACAACAAACTCCATACCTCGTGAACACCAGACAAACTCACGATAGCAGTTTGACGGGTACAATAGCCTTGTCGATGACCAGTAACCACTACAGAGATAACACAAAACTAACGACTATCGAGATTCGAACCCCAAAACTTTGAACTTTTAAGTACCAATCTCACCACCCTTGATGATTTCCAACGTGGTTTTCTACGAGCCTTTTAACTAATTGTATTCGTTTGATGTGAATTAGTGTAGTGGGTTAACATCATTTTTAATGATATTGTCCTGCTTTCTTTAGGTACGCGCAGGCGCAAGCCTGGTCTCCTTTCCAATGTACAGATTCCTTAAAATGTTTTTTGGTTTAAGGATTTTACGGTTTCAAGTTCAATGCATATTAACTATTAAGCATAAGGCGTACAATGATAATTAAACAAGTTAAACTATGCACGTGCGTTAATTAGATCAATAGACTATCCCAGTAGACATACGCGGTCGTCGCACTCTTCGAATTAGGTCATAATCAAAGCTATAAAAGAATTGTAATTAATCAGCTAAAAATGATACTTACTGCACACATGCAAACTAAATTTGAATAGTTAATTGCTCCACTAATCAATTGGCTCTTTATGTGGCTTATCTACGTGGCAGTCTTGACCTGGTGATCGATGGCTCTCCTCCACCTAATCTACCTAATTAAGATCTGTCAGTCATCTTTAACTTTGACAAATATATTTATTATAAAAGTTAAACTAATTGATACAAGGCTTAAACTCCATTTTCTAATGTTTTTTGGCCCGAGAACCGGTGGCTATCGATAGTAAATTACCGGCAAAAATGCTTTAACATGTAAATTTGCTTTTGATTTCTTTTCTTCCTATGTCAATGATAAATAAAATAAATTATTGTGGTGAAGATTAAATTTCAATCTATTTAGATTGATTTCATGGTTGAAATTAAATGATTATTTTTTCGATGATTTAATTTTATTAACCCTCTTGATTCAATGTCATCCATTTCCGTATATTGTGAGAGGAAATAATTCATGGTGGTTAGTTAAGTGAAGTTTTTTTTTTAAGGAAAATTTGACATTGCATGTCCCGAGTCAACGATTTCGCTGAAATTGTGTAAAGCGGATGAGTTATTACAAGAATTATGGAGTGAAACGTGTGCAGTGCAAATATGATTGACCTTTTGGGAAGTCACCTTTTGATCAGAAAAAATCGGGATGTTACAAACATAGTCCGAAAACATATTAATTTGAACGCTATTGAATACTTAAACCGGTATTAAATTGTTAAAAAAATGGATGACTCGTAAACAACAATATTATAAGTATATTACACATAAACCATAAATCCAGAATGGAATGTATTACGCATAAGCAAAAATTAGTTCTGAAATTCTATAGTCCAAACTCCAAACATTAATGTTCTCCAAAATAGAAACAAAGGTTTAATTATTAATATACTCCTATAAAATTTTAATTTGTTTGTACAGGTAATTGTCTGAACTAATTTCTGATAGAATGATTCAATATAGACGATTATATGAGTAATACCAACCGAACTGGTTTCCAAATTCTTGTTTTACAAGCCGGTTCGATTTTCAAAACACTCAGATAACCCTAATAGATGAAACAAAAGTGACCTACCTCAGAAAATCTGAGTTCTCATATGTGCAGGCAGAAGGAATCCTTTTAAAGAAGAGAGTAACCATAATGCATAGCAAAACAAAGGTGAGCGTACAAAACCGCAATTGACACTGCGGGCACATGAATGGAAATTTTCCATCCAAATACATCTAATGCAGATGTGACTAGCTATCCAAAACCAAAACCCTACCCGCCAAATTAGTTGTTGGAACCAGCTAATTTTTTTTTACCTTCCTAAAACGTATTAATTATGAACGACATATTCATATTAATATATTTTGTGAACAAAAAATTTCAGATCATTATTTTTACAAGGGTCGCAATGTACTTACTTTCGTAGGTGACACTTTTTTAGGGGTCCAAGGAGCTTATCGTAGAGATCGACTTCGATGAGTGTCGTAAAACATGGTACGAGCATCAATTTTCTTGTTCTAAAATATATCAAAATGGATTTGATTTTGTACAATACAATTAATGCAGTCTATCTGTGAAAAGAAATAAAATTCAAGTTAAAACAAATGATATATGGTCCGTTAAAAATGAATGTAAGACTGGATTATTGAACAAAGAATTTAGTTTTTTATGAGTATTAATTGTGTTGTTTGGCTTGTTATTTTGTCGTCTGATTAAACTAGTTTAATCATTTTCCTGAAACATTACTAATTATATTGAAAAGTGAAGTGTTGGTAGGTATAAATATGTGGCTGAGGTGACTTGACAACCCATCTAAATAGGACCTCAGTACATGGCTATAATTGGAAGATTAATTGTCACCCCAACTAAACTAAACAGCCCCCTTATGTCTCGATTAGGAAAGCAAATAAAGCAAACACCAACCCTTTTGTTTTCAAATTAAATAGAAGTCTAGCTACTATTCATTAATAAAAAGTTAAAGTCTAATTAACCAAGATGTAATTATTGATCTGCTTTTCCAAAATAAAATTTATTTAAAATAAAAAGTGGAAATTAGAGCAGAAGTGGACCTCTTTCAAGTGATGAATGGAAAGGTCTTTTTACTTGAAATTATGATTAAAGTTAAAACACAACATTAAAATGGATTGGAAAAAATGAAGATCATAAAACTAAGATGAACATGGTCGATGGAGCTAAACTATACGAGTGAAAATACTTTCAAAATTCAAAAGTTGGTGTAGCTAGCTTATAATATACGTATGCGCTCACAATTACTAGTTGTAATTCGGTATATTTTGACGAATCAGAATTGTTTGTTATTATCTTTTGATTAAATTGACCTTATG